TTTCTGTGATCACTAGTTTTGCATTACATGATCAAAGGTCTTAACCCCCACAATAAATGTGGGGAAAATTTTTTAGAAAATTATCATATCCATAAAATAATGCCAAAATTTTCATGTATTAAAACCCCATAGAATTGTCTTCATAAATTTTTGAACTTTCAGCTACATTTGGAATTCATGCATTATATAATGCTACATTCTCTAACTTGTTGAGGTTGAATACCTCATTTAGCTTCGAAATAATTCTAAGACAAATTTTATTTTATGAAAGTTCATGTTTTTAAGAGGTGTTTTGTGAAACCCCAAATGCTCAAACAAAATCCTTATTTTTTACAAAAATAATGATTTAATTGTCATAAATTCAAAATAATCATTTACAGAAGAGATAAAAATCTAAAGAATTGCAATATTATTGTATTCATAAAATAAGAATGTCATATACATATCTAGACGCTTTGGATATTGTTGGGTATTTTATCCATATGTTTTATTAAATTGGAGCATGAACTTACAAATTTGGGTCATTAGACTCAAAGGCTCTAACCAATATTTTTATCAACTTTGAGAACATTATGAGAAAGGGTAAAAATTAAATTGGGAATTATAGAAACGGTTTACCATTTATTTTGAATTTTCTCTATTATTTGGGTTTTAATTTACAAATAAATATCAAATAACCTTCAAAAATGTCTGTAAAATTTATGGAAACCAATGCCCTCTGTTAGAACCGGAAAATAAATTTGTATAATTTTTGGAATTTATTTTTCATGCTTTTGTGAAATTTTGAACAAAAAACATTATGAATTCAGTATTACCAATAACGAATCGTTCACACTTTGGGCACTTTTACGACACCATTAGTTGAATAGGTAGTTCCTAGAAAATAGTTTAGTTAATTATATCTCACTAGAAACTATTTGTTTCGTAGGACACTAGTAGGAAACGTACTCGTCAATATCAAATCGTGAAGCCCGAGCCACAAACTTTCCCTTGTGAGTATTCACAACCCCTATTTTACGTTTTTAATGTTTTGGGTAGGAAAGAATGCTACAATTTCTATGAACACTATTGGATGAACTGGTTTTATGAACTTTATGATACGGACTTTATGTTTACGAACCTTGTAATATGAATTTGTGCTATGAATTTTGTGTTATGAACTTGTATGTTAAGTCCCCGAGAACCAAACTACAACCTATTAACTCATATTCGAGCCGATGGTTTTATGGATAGCATTATTTGGGGTCGACAACCCCCACTCGCCCAGAACTGTGAGTACATAATTCCATGAACTGACATCATGGGAACCATGGATATGATACATATGGGGTAAGAACGGTCTTTAGGCCTGGTTATGAACAGAATGCAATGACATTCATCATTTTCTGAACTAGAACTTTTATTGAACAAAACAATATTTTCTTGCTGAAATAATGTGCTATTACAAACCTGTGAACTCACAAACTATTTTATAGTTGAACCTCATTTTTGCATGCTTTTCAGGGAACGGTTAGTGACTCAATAAGATGCCAGCGTGATTTATGTTGTTACTTTTGTTATGTATTAGACTATGTATTTGTGGACACTAAATGTATTTGTTTCGTATGCGATGTATAATTAAAACGCTTAATGTTTATGGTTGGTACTCCTATTTACTTTTTGTGATGAGACCTTAGCCTGCCACTCTTTGTGTGTCCGTTTTAACGAGGTGTGACATAAATAGTTATAGCGTTAAGAGTATGATACTACTCTGCTATTGGTAAAATTTAAGCCAAATTCATTATGACACCATCTACCCAATCTTCATCAGGAACTTGAACAACCAATATAGCAACAATAAGTTCTATTTGTTTGCAAGTTAGCACATTGTGCATCTATTTATCAAATAAGTTTAGACAATATCGCGTTCTAACATTTATTGGGCCCTTGTGAAATGTTCTCAACAAGTTCTGCAGTTAGAAATCCAGTTGGCAAGTAACATATTCAATAGACATAAAAGGGTACAAGTATTTTATGAGTACTCTTATTTAGTTATGTTAGATGATTTGTCTAGATTCATAGCCAAACAAAACCTATTAACAATTAAATCGAAAAAGCTTGCAAATTTGCTAAACTTCACCCCATATGGATGAACAAAACCTAAATTATTATTTAGAGAGAACAAAAACCGATTACCCAATAGAATTTACAACCGATTTAGGAGCTCAACAAATAAATTTTACAACATCAAATGATAGAAAATAATTATTAAACTGATCATATATTAGGGCAAATTAGAGTGAAGGAACATGATATAAACACATATATACCGGAATGGAACCAGGAAAATGACTAGTAGGAAGGGTGGTGTACGACGAATTTTCCATGAAAAAAGTGGTTGTCGGTGAAAGAAATAAGAATAAGTTGAGGTTTTCAGCAAGTCATACTAATGCAGTGAGGATGAAGTTCGATTGTGATTAGAAACGAAAGTTGTAAAAAATTGGACTAGAAATGAAAGTTGTTTGCTTAATAGTCGAAAGACCAGGAACCACCGAGCAGTTCTCCCTATGAGTATAGTATAGCTTGAGACATTAAGTGTTTGATTGGGTCACATCTTATCACAATATGAACTGTGAAGGACATGAAGTAGTGACGCAACTTCTGATTAACAAAGACTAATGTGAGGCAGTGCCCTTCCACAACTGAGTACCTTGTCCCTAGACCTATGATCACTCGGCTTTTGGGCAGCCCAACAATTATATACCTACTAATTCGATGCCCATCCCGCCTCATATTGTACCGGAATGGTATTTCCTACCGATGTATGTCATTCTTTGTAGTATACCTGACAAAGCGGGAGGTGTAGCCGCAATAGCATCTGTTTTTTTATGTCTGTTGGCTTTACCTTTGGGTCCTCCTCCCCTTGATGGTGAATCTTGATTGACTGACACTAGGAGCTGATGAAGAAGCGTGAGATATGCGGCGGAAGATGGGAGGCCTAAAGTCTTTCACGTTGACTCGACCCGACATGATGTTTACTGTGAATTAAGTCTTTCAGTTTATGCATGCTCCTCGACAAGCACATCTACAAATGATAAGCTTCCTTCTTCACAAGCTTCTCCCTCCCAAAAAAACCGAATCGATAGTGCTTCCCGTTTTTTCCATTCCATCCCATTTCATTCTGGGACATGCGGCTATACTAATCTAATAAGTGAAGTAGTCGTCGTCTACAATGTAACTATCAATACAGATTTGGGATTGAAGATAACTATCAATGCAACTGTTAATGTGATTATTCCAAGTATACTGAGTATCATCCATGTAACGATCATGGTCGAGATTAAGTCTGAGGATCAAAAGTTGCCTGAGAGTCGAAGGGTTCGACTACGTTGTTGCTGCGTTCGTGGCTTATCATGAATTAGGGAAGAAGAAGATTTGATATTTCATTTTAGGTCCGCACAATTGAAGTGATTTGACAGTTTCTACCCAGTTTTGAATCCGGGGTATTTTCGCTATTTCTGTGAAGTGGGGGGATTTTTCGCAACTGGTCCTTGAAGTACTTGCGAAAATAGTACCCAATTTCAGACTACAACTCTCACCCAAAAGTTGAAATCTTCACAACTTTTGAATATTTTCTCTTGGCTTTTCGTGATCGTTTTTGGTGTAAGATTTTTCGTGGTACATAAACAATTGGTGTTCATTTTCAAGTCCGGGAAGTCAAAGGTTTGAAGACATTGGCGTATTTTTTTAGGGTAGTTTCTTGGATTTGAATCATTTCATTTTTGTCATACATCGAAGGGAGTTTCGTATAGATTATTCATCGAGCATTTCCCTTACCCTTTTGGCGTTTTATAATCATTTGTTTATTATAAAAGGGGGATAGAATTGAAATGGGTATTCGAAAAGTTATTCTTTTTCAAAGAGGACTTGAAAATCAGTGCTACTTCGAGGGGGAGTTGGTCTAGATCGCTTGGTGCTCGTTTGGATATTGAAGTTGGGACATCCAATCCTAACTTTAAGGGGGAGAATGTTAGGGTGCAAAGTTCTCCTTGGATGTAATGTAAGCTTACCCTTTAAGGGATGTGTAATGGGTTGAGCTTTTTTTATAAATAGGAAGTGAGATGATCGCATTTATGTAAGAATGTGAGATTAGTTTAGAGAGAGATATATTGGATGACCCACTTTGTAATAACTTTCTAGACTAATGAGAGCTTAAAACACTTTATTTACTTCTCATGTTCTTGATATTGTTTGATTCTCATAATCATTATATTCCCGCATTTGTCATCATTCACGGGATCTTACAATGTCATCGAAGAATAGAACCCCATCCAAATTCAATTTCAAATTATCCCTTCCTAATTCATAACGACAGTATTACGAGATGAATTAAGAAGTAAAAAGATTGACATGTCTTTTATTGGAGAAGACTTCATTTTTTGTGTGCATTAAACTCGCATCTTCACCTTTGATAAGATAGCATAATAAATGAGTTGTTGATGTTCACGTCTGTAGTAGAATCAGACATGTGTCAATGGCGAGGGCAACTCTAAAGAATTCCAATTTATAGCAAAATAACGCAAGTCCTAATGTTCAATTACCTCAAGTGATTATCACCATAATACATTTAACAACTTGAAAACTAAAGTACTCATTTTCAAATAGTATGTTGCTTCCCACCTTATGTTTTATTTCAGCTGTTTTTTGACCGCCTAATAAAGCGACTTTTAACCAATTTTTTCCAGACCAAATTATTTACAAGTAAAACTCTTGCTACACCTTGTCAGACTCGGATGATTTTTACAACAATAGAGAGCAGTAGAATAGAGACAAGATTACCTCTTGCCGGTAACATAGAGCAGATATGTGACTTGTTGTCGTTAATTTATATCCAGTAAAAGATCAGTGCGTTCAGTATTAATTGCTTGATCTGTTTTATCTAGTATGAATACGTTGATTCTCATGTATAGGTAATTTCTGTCCTTGTTTGTTTCCTTTAATGTTTGAATAAAAACATATGCATTCTGTTCGTATTATAATAAATTACAATCGCTTAGAGTTTAACTTTTTTCAACTACAAATGTTACAATGCAACAAAACATACAGGCCATGCATTAACACAGAAACATAGTAGATATACAAAGAAACAAATATTTGGTAATCTTTCAATGCTTTTTTCATCTGTGTAGAAGAGCAACACGTGATGTTGTGTTGTCTCACTGTTTCTCTTTAAAACCATACAACCAAGTTTTAGTTTAGATTTTGTTCGTCCATGTCTCCCTTGTTTAATAAAGATTCACTAATGATTCTTTCTTATTCATCATGTGACAAAAATCTCATCTCCTTTTATCATTCTTCCTGTAAACTGATGATGGACCAAAAACAATTGTCATGTCAGCCACTCATATACTTCATGGACATCCTTATTTTTCCCCTAAGAAGATGTACGTATTAAAGTAATAGATAAAAACTATGTTTAAACTTACTTGGATTTTCCAAGCTTCCCCAAGTTGGAATGCAATTTCAGCAATTGTAGGCCGTTGTTCCCGAGTTTTGTGCAAACATTGATATGCAATAGCTGAGAACTTGCTTAATGTTCTTGGGTTAATTTCTGTCTTTATTCTCTGGTCAATTATCTTATCCAGCTCTCCATTTTTGTAGTGGGTTCGAGCCCAATGATGAAGGAATCTCCGTTCATCATGGTAATTCAAAATACACGCTAGCCTTCCACACAAAACTTCAAACAAAACCACTCCAAACGAATAAACGTCCGACTCTTTTGTTAAAAACCCTGTTCTTTCATACTGTGGGTCACAATAACCATGTGTGCCAGCAATGTTGGTGATCACAAAGGTGTTATGTTGATTTGCTAAGCCTATTCTCGCCAACCCAAAATCCGAAAGTTTTGCATTCCAATTTTCATCCAACAAAACATTCGCGCTTTTTACATCGCGATGTATTATTCTGTGTTTTTCGGCCACGTTGTTATGAAGATAGTCCAATGCAGATGCAATGCCAATACATATTTTGAGGAGTTGTAGCCATGAAAGTCCACCCGACATTGCACGGCCACTTAAATATTTGTCAAGGCTTCCATGGCTTGCATATTCATAAACAAGGATCTTCTCTTCGTTATCATCGCAATACCCTATAAGTGTTATAATGTTTTTGTGTCTATACTCTGAAAGCATTGTGACCTCTGTGTGGAATTCCTTGTTACCTTGAAATCCAGTGACATCTAGGCGTTTTACAGCAACTAGTTTGTTTATATGATTTGCCCAGGTAAGTATTCCCTTGTAAACCCTTCCGTAACCCCCCTTCCCGATGAATTTTTTTTCATTGAAGGAATGGGTGCAATCATTTATGACATGGAGGGGTATTTTCAGGTCGTTTGACTGCTTCAATGGAACATAATGTACAATAATTATAATTAATTAAAATGTAACAAGTACAACAACACATGTAATATTTCATTATTTTGAGGTGGTTTACCTGAAATTTCGTAATTGCTACTTTCAAATCTGATTCAAGAACCAATTGTCTCAATCTATTCAACACTTCAATCTCCTGTTCAGTTTGTGAGATTAATCAAAATCGTTTTGCAATTTTTATCAAATTTCTTGAAACGTTTTCAACATAACCAATAATCTGCTACGGTTTCAATTTTTGATGCAAACCCGTACAGAGATAGAGATCGTCATTTGTTTTTTTGTTTGTTTTTTTTTTTAATTAATGGAGAATTTTGTATATATCTTTAATAAATAGAGATAATTTCATATATATACTTTGTTAAACGAAATATCATATTTTTCCAACATATTTATAAATATTATAATTATCCAATGTATTTATAAATATCATATTTAATTTTTTTTAAACTCTCAAAACAAAATATTTGCCCAATATTTTTTTTAACATTTTTTAATATTTTATAATCAGTTTTTATATTTTAAAATTATTATAATTATAAAAAAATAAATTGAACATATTGCCTCCCCCTTAAAATCATTATAATTATAACAAATATGTTGTAATACCGGAAATGTTCTCTTGTATCGATCATTTAATGCAGTGCCATCAGTATACTACACACATTTTACACATTAGTTTGTCATTCATGCTTGGTCAATCCGCTAATGCAATAAATACCTATTAATGGTATCTAGTGGTTGCCGTTACAGAGCATTATCACGTTATTAGGCCCTCTAGAGTACTCTCCCGGGATGGCTTCATGGTTTACGTGGTAACGACCACTGTCTGTGAAGATCACTCCGGTGGTTTGTGATCGGTCGTGGTCGTGGGAGTTTGTGGTGGCTACAATGATGGATAACCACCGATTGGAGAGGTTTAGGTGTTCACTTGGTTGACTAGCCGTTTAACGATTAGTTTTTGATTTTTCATAAAAAAAAGTAAATTTTCACATATAAGTTCCACTGCATACACCGAAATTTTTAACATTATTCTTCTCTTCCTCTATTTACATACACACATTTGTATTGTTTTAAAATCCAAAAACCCTAGATCTCAATCAAAATACCTCATCAAACTATCGAACTGCAAACTTGACAACGCCTTTGTGTTAGATACAACAGTTGCATGCCAATACTCGAACATGTAATCAATTCAATGTGGTTTTATGAATTTGCTCCACGGTGGATTCTTTATCCAACAAACTCAACTTTATCAGCAATCATATCAACATTTATGTAACACCCCGTTTATTTAATAAATAAATAAACAAATTAATGAATATATAGTAGCCCTAAAATCAATAATTGAGCATGGTGTTGGTTTCGAGGAGTTAAAAGTGACAATTATAGAAGTTAGTGGTTAAAATGTAATTTTCGGATTAAATTGTAAAGATTGTTAGAGGACATGGGGTGTTTGGTATCATTTGGACTTAATATGAAAGGAATTATGGAAGCAATGGATAAAATGTAAATTTTCGATTTATATTGTAAAGATTTATTGAATCAGGGGCTAAAGCGGTAAATATTGGATTAAATTTGAAAAGATTCTCATGGGGAGGGACCAAAGTTGTCAATTGTGCAAAGATTTGCTAGGAGCGGGACTTTAATCCCACGTATCCCGTCCCTCCTGTTGTATTGCTTAAACCTAACCCTAGATCGTCAATTCCCCAGCCGCCACAACCCTTGGAACGTCAGTGAAGTCAGCGTTCAGTGGTTCTATCATGGTTTAGGTGTGGTCGACAATTGTCTATGGATGAACTTTGGAGTTCAAGGCACTACCGTTGCTAGGACTGGACTGGTAACATGAAGAGGGTAGTATCAGTTGCGGGTGTTAGATACATAAGTGATTGGTCATCAGATGTTCACGAGAATTGTATTTTCGCATGGGCTATGTTCGGTTAGAGTTCAGTGGTGTTGCGAGATTGGAAGTGGGAACGAGGAATCGTGAGCCAGAGTGAAGATTAAGGCCTCTAGTTGTCAGCATGGGAGGTGGATTGAGGTGTCATACTAGACCAAATTTCAAGAGTACTCATCAAGATTTCTGAGGATGGGCGATCTCAAGGTTTAACCGGTGATTAATCGCTAGCATTGGTAAGCACATGTTGTCATCAGTGGGATATTAGAAAGCGAGAAGGATTAGGAATCCTTCAATTCTCGCATGCCGTGAAGACTTAGTCGAATCTAAGTGGGGGAGAGACTTTTTGTAGAGTTCTCCAAATGCGAGTTCTGGTTAAGCAAGGTGCAATCTCTTGGGCACCTTGTCAACCAGAAGGGTATTATGGTCGATCCGACCAAGATAGAGGCCGTGATGCAGTGGGAGATTCTGAGGTCTCCAACTGAGATTCAAAGTTTCCTGGGTCTAGCGGGTTATTATCGGAGATTTATACAGGACTTCTCCGAGATTCCGGTTCCTTTCACTCGACTGACCAAGAAGTTGGTGGCCTTTCGTTGGGGGCCTGAGCAGCAGACAACCTTCGAGACTCTCAGACATTAGGTTTAGGGAACCAGGTTAAAGGTCCAATTAGGACTCAAGTTCAGCTGTGTTTTAGGTTGAGTGCGTGTTCGAGCGGTATGGAAAGTGTTTTTAGACTATGGAGGTAGCCATAGCATTCACTAGTGATCAAATAGTATGGAGAGTGTTGTAAGACTGCGGGTGTATCTGTAGCATTCACTAGCGATCAGGTAGTATGGAAAGTGCTGTAAGTCTGTGGGTGTAGCTGTAGTATTCACTAGCGACCAGGTAGTATGGAAAGTGTTGTAAGTCTGCGGGTATAGCCGTAGCATTCACCAGGTTAGCAGATAGTGCTAGAAGTGTTGTAAGTCTGTGGGTGTAGCTGTAGCATTCACCAGGGTGGCAGATAGAGTGAGAAGTATTAGAAGTCTACGGGTGTAGCCGTAACATTCACAAGGTTATCCGATAGTGCTAGAGGGATGTAAGTTTGTGGGTGTAGCCATAACATTCACTAGGTTGGTAGATAGCATGAGCGCGTTGTTAGGATGCGTCAGGAACAATTGTACCCACCAGTTGGGTGTAGCAGTGAGGATATGGAAATCAATGGATTGGATTTTGGAATCACCTAGATGGATTAGATTTGGTGGAGCCAGTGATAAGACTATAGGGACGCCACTACAGTTACGAGATCAGGGAAGCAATGGACTTTATAAGGTCGTTTGTGATATAAGGCTAACTTTTGGTCAGGTAGCAATCACTTTTAGTCTTGGATTCGGTGATGACAGGATTCAACACATGGAACCGATCGGGTAGATCAGAAAGTTGTTAGAGTTGCAGTGGCATGATAATTAGTGCCAACTAGTTCTAGAGAAGGATTTCGTTCAGAAGTTGTGTGAGGCGACTAAGTAGGGACTCCTTTGGCTCCGTAGCCGGGCCGGAACCCGATATTTCAGATGATTGGTGAACGAATTGAGACCAGGGGGTCTCAGTAGATTTTTCCAAACAGCCATGTGGCAACATACTGCTTCAGGCAGTTTAATGTTCGTACAGTTTCAACGATTGGCAGTATTAGTAATTGTGTTTTAGGTTGCAAGTTTGGACGGAATAACATATTGATTAGGTTATGCTAAATGACCTATAGGGATAATTGGGTCTATGATTTCAGTTTTCTAGTGGGAGCCTCAGGTTATGAGAGGTTTAGTAGTCAGGGAGGGATAAACAAAAAAGAATCAATGATAATGATTTAGTATGAACGGTCTGTTATGGATTTAGACCATCTCGAGACAACAGATTTCAGACAAAGTAGATGTGATCTTTTTGCGAGGAATTCTTTCACCTTCGGATTTTAAGGCTTCGCGAAGATTAGTCACAGCTACCCTGGGAAGGTTAGGGTGTGACTAGGATGGTGACCACGTTACTAGAGTGGTTTGGTGTGTAAGGAATGGTAAGAAATGATTTCGAGGACCAAATCTAATTTAAGTGGGGAAGATTTGTAACACTCTGTTTATTTAATAAATAAATAAACAAATTAATGAATATATAGTAGCCCTAAAATCAATAATTGAGCAAGGTGTTGGTTTTGAGGAGTTAAAAGTCACAATTATAGAAGTTAGGGTTTAAAATGTAATTTTCGGATTAAATTGTAAAGATTTTTAAAGGAAAGGGGTGTTTGGTATCATTTGGACCTAATATAAAAGGACTTATGGAAGCAAGGGATAAAATGTAAATTCTGGATTTATATTGTAAAGATTTATTGAATCAGGGGCTAAAGGGGTAAATATTGGATTAAATTTGAAAAGATTCTCATGGGGAGGGACCAAAGTTGTTAATTGTGTCAAGATTTTCTTGGAGCGGGACTTTAACCCCACATATCCCGTTCCTCCTGTTGCATTGCTTAAACCTAACCCTAGATCGTTAATTCCTCAGCTGCCATAACCCTTGGAACGTCTACAGCCGCTGCCACTTTATCGCCCTCATCCCTAGCCGCCGTTGTCAACCATATCGCCGTTGGATACCGTTGCTTGCACCACCATCACTTTTGTCACCGACGAAGTCAAGGATGAAACGACAACCACTATGAAGGCCGGATGAAGCGGGTGTAACGACCATTGTGGTTGTTTTCCGGTGGAGGTGCGACCTCCATTCCCCATTGCATTCACCACCATCCTTCCACCTGCTGGATTGCTGTCGGCACGTCTTCAACAACCCCTATCATTGGATGTCTTGTGTAGCTGAGAAATGACCGCCGAGATCAATGGTGTGCTCGTGGGAATATCGCTTGAAATGGCTGATGTTAGGTCTCATCACTACTGTTGCCGCCACACGGCTGTTTCACCAGGAGCTGCCGCCAAATGCCATCGCCGCCGCATGACACCGGGGAGGGATGACTGTGTTCGAGTTTTGCAATCGAGTGTGTGTGTTTTCTGTTGTAAAACGATGTGTGTGTGTCAAGGGGCGTATATGCGTTGTTTTTAGCATTTTTGAAGTTTTATTTGCGATTTTTAGCCAAAAGACCCACCGCCACCACCCGTGAGGTGGTGGCTGCCGCCATATACCACCATCAGCCACCACTAAGATGGCTGTGTGTGTGTGTGTTTATGTTAGTGAGTGGGTGTGTTACCAGGATTTGGGTTGTAAACTGTAATAGTGTTGGAATAATGAAAAGAAATCTCAAAACCACCACTATAGGGTGGTGGGTGCCGCCTCCTACCGCCACCGCTGCCGTGTTGGGTGGTGGTGTGCTTGTTGTGTTTGATTCGTTTGGGATGTTTGGACAAAGGGACTAAAACCCTAATGGTCCTAATAAACCCTAATTTATCTAAGGACATAGCTATTAGGCCTATTGGGCTATGAATGTGTTGGAAACCGTAATTAGGGTTTAGAAAACCCTAATTTTGGAATTATGGGCATGGACTTATCGGGACCCGCATTTTAGGGCATTGGAATTGGATTATGTAATAAGCCCAACTACACCATATCATTTATCTAGTAGAGTGATGGACTTAATGGATTAAGTCCTTAATGGGTTAAGTGAGAAACACTTAACCCTATTTGTCATTTTATGTGAAACCCTAATTTCACTGGGGCCTTGAGTTGGGTTTTCTATTGGGTTTTGGTAATTGGGCCAATAATGGGCCATCCAAGAATAATCATATGGAATAGAATATTTATATGAGCTTTAGGGTAAGTCTATAGTCTGGGCCTTGATGATTATGGGATATTGGAAGTAGAAATGTCAAATGTTGGACTGGACTAAATGGTTGGGCCTTATGGAATGACCATGTAGAGGTTTGGGCCCTATTTGGAAAATTGGACCATATGTTAGGCTTTGACTCATTGTTGACTTTTGGGCCATTGGATTGGGACTTAGACTATCAAGCTAAGTTAGGGGTAAAGTAGCCTTTTAGCCTAAGCATGGTCTTATGGATATGTATTAGAACCCAATTATTAATTGGGAGTTGTTTTGATGATTGACTGTTTGGGGATCTGTCAGCCAGCAGCCATGGATTTATTTAGGAGACTTCAGCAGTACGAGGCGAGTCTCCTCACTGTTTGTATGGGTCTAAGGCACCAATGTCGGTCCATTTAGTTTATGTATGATAGGAAGACCCGAGGGTTTGCCCTAGGCATTATGCATGAAAGACCAGGAGGCAACTCCTGGCACACAATAAGTTATTAGGTATGTTAGGAAGACCCGGGGGTTAGCCCTAGGCAATATGTACGAAAGACCAGGAGGTGGCTCCTTTCACACTGTATGTTATTATATATGAAAGACCAGGAGGTGGCTCATGGCACATTATATGCTGATTAGCTAAGTAGACTAGTATGTATGCTAGTTGTCTTTATGATGCTTGCATGGAAGACCAAGATGTGGCTCTTGGCACTTGTCTGTGAGACCGAGGGGTGACCCCCGGCTTGGCAAGAAAGGCCACGTGGTGGCCCGTGGCATAATGGCAAGACTATGTTTGGTACGCAGCATCTTTACTAATTATGATATATGTATGGCTCATGGTTATATATGACAGTATGTGAGTATGTGTTTATATGCAAGATAGTATCCAGTTGAAAGAGACCGAAGGGGTAGGACAACACCTAGATATGCTAGGCAGTATGTTGATATGTATGGTATGTAGTATTTGGGGAACTCACTAAGCTTCGTGCTTACGGTTTTCAGTTTTGGTTTCAGCTACTTCGTTTTCAAATGAAAGGAGTCGACTCGATCGCAATGCATCACACTATGTTTCCACACATGATATCTTTGGGATTGCACTCTGATATTGTCTTATGATAACATGTTTTGATTATTGACACTTTGGTTTTGACATGATATGTCATTATGTATGTTTTTATTCTTATGGTCTTTTAATAATTTATTTAAAAATGAAACTTTTGCCATTGAATTTTAGGATGTTACAATTTCCCAAATGAAAATTTTGGCCTTGTTTTTATGGAAATGTTTAAACCATGCTTTATGGTTTGATGGGAAGTGAAAGCTAAAATCCCAAAATATTAGTTTGAATTGGTGCGATTTGAGGCTAAAATATACAAAATTAGAAGGAAACTACAACAATCTAAACAACCTACACAAAATCATGTCAATCGATTTCGATGTTTACAGAAGAGACTTCTTCTAGTTTGACGCGTACAGGAAATGCCAATGAAAGTTCACAACAATCGGACGCCCGAACAAGTGGATTTTGAAGATAAACAACCTCTTCATCAACCGATAAGAAGAAATAGAGCAAAGAAAGCAACTTCCGGCTCAGGTTCAAAACTTTTGAGTTCTAGCGATATTGATCACTTTATAGAAAATTTTGATCGATCTTTCCAACTATAAGAGAGCACGTTAGCGATGATGAGTTGGAGCGAGATATAGGAATGGGGAGTACTTTTTTATGTTAGGAATTTTTATGTTGCTTTTTGACTTTTTTAATTTTTTTTTAATTCTTGTTTTTTTTTACTTGGTGTGTTGTTTTTAAATGAATGAAAAATTAGTTTATATATATATATATATATATATATATATATATATATATATATTGTATTTTAAATATAAAATGATATGGAGTGGTGTTTAGTAGTATGTGTACTAAGTGCAATGTTGTTGGATGTGGTTATGAGGTAGCGACCACCACATCATGATGGATAGCCCTTGTGGCCTTATTACATATGACACATCCATTAGAAGCCCTTCATTGTTCTTGAATTGTTTTACTTTTTAGATTCATCCAACTCTAACTAGTAACTTTTGTTTACTAAACCACCTCAAAGCTATCTATTGTATATACTTAGAGGCCTCATAAACTTAATCCAACACCTTAGTAATCTGTTCTCATTGCCATCCTTCACGATCATTACCTTTCTAGTTTGTTCAACTGTTCAGTGAATTTGGGATGAGAAAACAAGAAACTTTAAGAAACAATTTCTTTTGGGAACTATTGCATTTGTGTAGAGACTTTGGGGGAATTACTAAACTAATATAGTCAGAATGATTTTAATAGTTTTTAAACTATGAAAATAAAAAGCATCTAATAGTAATTTAATAAAAAGAAGGATTTAAATTGATTATAAATTCTTTAAAAATGTTAAAAATAAACATTTAGACAAATTTGATATTATAAAGGTTTAAGATGAGAAAATATAATATTTAAAAATTATGTTGTATAAAGTCAACTGCTAAATAAAATTAATAGGTATTTGATTGACCTGGATTGATCCTGAATGACAAAATAGTATGTAAAATGGGTGTAGCTTAATACAATTTTATTATAAGTATAATGATTTTAGATGAGGGCCAATATGGTCAATCTATTTTTTCTAATAGATATATAGATTTTAATATAAAAAATTTATTATAAAATATTTAACATGCTAAAAGTTAAATTTGGACAAATATAATATTTTCTAAGATTTAAGAAAAATAAATATAATATTTAGAAAATAGGTTGAGAAAATATTATACTTCGACATTTAGCAGTGGGATATACAAAATATCCCTATAATTAATTGTTATGATTATGAATATGAAAAACTGGTTCTAACCATGTTACCCATCATTCCTAAATTTAATATGAGTGTGATGAAGGTTGTTTTAACTCACACATTATATATATATATATACCATATTATAAAGAGTGGATAATTTACAAGTCCCTCACTGCACAAATGTCTTAAAATTAAGACAATTGGACTAAGAGGTACAAATCAATATGCATGAATAAATAAAAGCAGAGGTATATCACACGGATCACCACATGGATGGCCAACGTGTTACCCTTTGAAGTATAATCTTGGTCATCCATTTCTTATGTAACCAATTGAATGGCTTGATAGCCTTTTTATCCCATGACAACCCTAAATCATAATGTATAGTATGGTATACCTTTTCATTCGCCTCCATCGTTCCTGAAACGTATGGATTCTTCAACCTCACTTCTCTCTTCAAAAATACGGTTCATGATCAAACCCAACGATGAATCTCTTATTTGAACTGATTCACTTTGCAATCGTCTTCAACTGCCGATTTAACATTTTCATTTTTTGTTCCTAGGATAAAATCGGGAAGATCAGCAAGAAATGGAAATGTCGATATTACTTGTTCTTAGATAAACCTCTCTATCAGGTACTACCAAAAGTAGTTTTTGTTTATGAACGTTTTTAGTGAATTTTTGGCTTTTCTGATAAGTATTCTTTGTGGGTTTGTGGGAAGGGCAGAAAGAAACATACACACACTTTGATTTTACATCCAGTCACAACTAAAAATTACTTTAATGTTTGATTTAAACTAATCTTGTAGGAAACAGATAAATTATTTCTTTGATTCAAATAGAAAAGATATGATGAAGGCAACTATGTGTTTACTTACCCACTCTCTTACTTTCTCACAGCATGTGCATGTGTGAATTGACGGTCACCTTAAGAACTGCTTCCAGGAAAAGAAATCCATGGTATTCGAAGTTATTACACATCATGATTATCCTTAAGAAATGTTTCAAGTTATTGATGTGGTTTTAAGATAAGATAAACAACTTTAGAAAGGTAATACTGATTTCTTATCTGTTTCCTCTTAAAACACATATTTTGACCATCTGTCCCACCATTTTCTTTAACCTTTATCATAACAAGATTTGTTGGTCTTCATTTTTATACTACGACTTTCGATCAAAGGAAGGTGCGCGCTTAATTTTTTTTAGCATGCGACAAGGTTAAAATTGTGAAAAACCTTTTGGAAACAGAGCAAGGAAGGGCACAACTCTCTCTCTCTCTCTCTCTCTCTTAGAGCTTAACTAAACGTTTAACTCTTAAGCTAATATAAACTTAACTTTTTTTTCTTCGTTATTTAGTATATATTTACCATCTAAAAACTCTAGATTTGTCCTGTATTTTAATTTAGGTTTATGTTTTTGTACTCGAGATATTATTTTTACTAAACTTTTGTTTGACTTATTTTATATTTTTATGATTTTTCGTGTGTTTTGTTTGCAGGAAGAAGGTTTGAAGATGGGAAAATAGATCGAACCACATACTAAATTCTAATCACAAAACATTAAAAAAAAGTATTTTAAAGATGTAAAAGTTTACTGTTTTTTGAATGTATTGTGGCAAAAGTATTTTAAAGATGTAAAAGTTGACTGTTTTTTGAATGTATTTGGCAAGATGTGAAATTGTGAATATGATATGGGTTTTCTTGAAAATGATTGAGTATTAAATGAAGATATTAGTTCATGTGTATGTGGTTTTATATCCCTAGAAACAGTTTTGTGTCTGTAACCAAGATACTGTTGAAATGTTGTAACTATGTGATATTTTTATGATGTTTTATGATGAAATTTGGTTGTTGTTTGTTATTTAATATCAAAAAGACTATATATATATATATATATATATATATATATATATATATATATATATATATATATATATATATATATATGCTTCATTTCTATGTTTAAAAGTCGCTGTCAAATTATGTTCGTCACAATGCAGATTTTTATATTAAAATATTTATCGGCTTTTGAACAGTATAAAAACTATTTAAAAGAAAGTAAGTTATTTATATTTCATCTTCATGTATATATTTATGATAAAATAAGTAAACGTCAATAAAAAAATATGTAAAGAAACACAATATAACATCACAATTACTTCTTGAAAAAACTGTTGATTGTGATAGTTGATTGTGACTATTCACTGCGAACAAAAAAAAGTTAATACATATCAAAAAGCTACAAGTAGTACTGTGATGATTCTTTGTATAACCATATCGAACCATGTAAACATAAAATAACTAATTAAAAGGTAAATTTTTAATGTATTTTATTAAAAGTTAAAAAACTAGAAAAACAAATAAGATTTATGGACTTATGTAACATGAAAACATATTATTATAAATTCCATACGATATCTATATGGAATAAGGTAGGAATAAGGTAAGCATAAACCAATTAAAATCGTCAATGTTGAATTTTCATTTTGATTTTAATGACATTAAAATTTATTAAAACCTGGTTTATTCAATGAAATATTTTCCTATTATTATAAGAGTTTGTAATAAAAAAAATTAGAAATAATTACACAAACAAACAAGTCTCTTTTATTTTACTTCTTTTAAGTTATATCATAAAACAAATATTATAAATGCTATAAGTATTAATTTCCAAATAAGTTTAACAACTTATTACTAATTTGAAATTATAATTAATGTAATATTATGTTTTATTTTTAAAAAATAGTTTTTTGTTGTATAACCTAAATCTTAGTATTTTTTTTTCTTCACAACAACAATGTATTATGTAAACCAAATCAATAATATATTTTATTTTAAACTAAAAACCACGTATTTTTAAACAAAATAATATTCCCTCCATCGCAATATTATTGCCCACAGACAAAAAACACACAGATTAAGAAAAACATTAATTACCACTAACTTTATATAATAAAATGATATTTTTGTTCTTACTTTGCATTTAATGTTCCATTAAATGTTTAGTTGTTTAAGTAATAATGAGAGGGTGTTTTGGTAAAAATATTATTTATTTTTAGAAGTGGACTATTATTTTGGGACACACCAATAAAGAAAAATGGATTATAATTTTGGGACGAAGGGAGTAAAGTACTTCTATTTTTAACCCAAATAACTCCTACTGGAAAAAATTATATACCGAAAGGAAACGATTAGACGACAATGAAAACGAAACAAATTTTTGGACGAAAACTAATCAGCCGGAATGAAATTAAGTGCCGCCGCCGCATCGCGCGGGTATTCTACTAGTATATATATATATATATATATATATATATATATATATATATATATATATATATATATATATAATCTTAATGTGGAAAAAAGAAAGTAAAATGATGTAATTTAAAGTAAAATGATGTAATTTTGTTGGTTTTGAAAACCCAACTTGAATGTAGAGATTATGTTGTAATAAAAAGAAAATAGAAAAAAAAAGTTATTATACACAAACAAGCAGAAATAAGTTGGTATTTTGTGCAATTAGTTTTTTGTAAAGTTAAAAAAAAAAAAAAAGTTTATGATGTCACCAAAGTGACTTGCTTATCTATCTGGTTTAAATACTTTTTTTTTTTGTGTAAATAATGTTGGGTTTTTTTACACTTTTTTAGAATTCCAAACACAACACTTGTATATTATTCCAAAACTACTTCTTTCGCATTAAACCGGACCAGAACCCTGAACTTTTGGTTATATTTCCACAAAAATTGATACCATTAAACTACAAACTTTTGGTATATTTCCACAAAAATTGATACCATTAAACTACAAACGAGTTAGTATGTGCTTTTTATAATGTTTATATCTCTATTTTAATAAAAAAATAATTTTAATCTCCTTTTTTTTATTCTAATACAACTCTTCATTAATATTATACCATATGTCAAAGATATATATTAGGTAATATTTCAAAATCCAAATTTATTTTTTTCTAATTATTATATGTTATGTTTGAAGTTATAATAACTTTAAAATTTTGATATATCTTTTAATTAATGATTTATCTAAAATAATTGACAAATAATTTTAGAATTTTTACTATGAAAATATAATTTATTTTATAACAATGTTCCCCGGGTTATAAACTAATATAGCAATATATAGGTCATTTCTCTACAAAAAATAATTTGCTTTGTGGTATGCCTATTTTTACTAGCGATAAGGGTATGACCCTTATCTATTTTTCCTTTAATACATATACACGCATAGACAATAACTAATAATTTAGCTATACATCGATTAATCTATGGTAAAAAATATTGCAATATAGGTAGTTACCTATGTATAACATGGAAAACATTACGTCCAAACACATCGATAAACTTAAAGAATCATAAACTTAAGTGATTAGTTGTTGATCCGGGGTAAGTTTCAATGAGGATCCGAAAGTTTTTGTGGAAATCTCCCAAATAGTGAAAGAAATTGTGATATAAGATTATTTACCTGCTTGGTACGCGGCATAGCACGAGCCTCGTTGAGCTCGGAGAGGCTTGTATTGAAACAAAATCGTCCTTGAAGGTCCTTTATAATAACAGCATTATTCGGTCCTTTTACAACAACAATATTCTTCATGCATCTACGCACGACCTCTCCAACATCATCCTTTGTCCGCAATTCCCTCAAATGCGGGGGCAAAGGATATCTTATCATCCCTAAAAAACCCTGAATGATCAGTAATGATTCCCGAAACAATAGTAATTAAACATGTATATATATAACCCGAGTCAACTACAAAAAGGGTAAAGGGAAATTACGGAAGAAGTACCAAACTGAACTACGAATACACTGAAGGCAACTAACTTAGAATCAAAAAGTAGTCTGGAGAACACAAAGTTTCGGTGCTTTATAGATAGAAATACGTGATTTTTAGTGTAGTGATGAAACCAAAATAACTGGGGTTACGAGGATCAATGAGCTATAAATTTCCTATTTATCCTGGTGAATTAATAAAAGAATAATTCACGGAATTAGATAGTATTAGAGAACAAGGAAAAAGAGATATTGGGTAGAAGTGTAGAACTGTAGAAGAAATAGCTTATGGTTCATATCCATCTATGAGAAAATACATAGAATCTGTTACAATGGGGGAGGCACCTGATGCTTGCTAATTGATTCGTTTTTCACCTGGTGGCTTTCCCACTCACAGAGGCTCAACAGATTATTCCTTCAATAATGATCCATTAGTAAGTGATGAGTATCTTGTTCCTTATATATAATTTAATTTTAAAAAAATTAGATACCATAAGTACTTATCTGTCATTTTTAAGCAATAGAGTACAACTGCAAAATTTTATAAGTGGAATTTCTTTAATATCAAGTACTTTCTTAACATTTTGAACACCATTTTTTTCTCTGTGTCTTTTTATATAAACTAACCATAACAAACACATCCGAAGGCTTTTTGTCCAACGGTATCCAGTCCGTGAGGTTGACGGTTCAGTTTCCGTTGTGGATATAAGTGAAATTAAGGAGTTGTTTAGAAATAGATTAGATTTGACGTTTAAAAAAAACTATAACAAAAACCAAACCAAGATACGAATAGAGTTATCTATTATAATACCAACACCACCACCGCTCACCTAAAACCAAAATCAAATAGAGATTAATTATTACTCTTAAAGATCCTTTATTTTTCAGAAAATCACAACAAAGTGGTTTGCATATGGAGTTACCATCGGTGAGTGAATACTCATGCGTAATCCAGTTTAATGGTGCTCGCTATCGGTGATAGACCAACTACAAAAGAAGTTGAAAATATAAGGACCATTTGTGTAATTTACAATAACTGGTTAATGAATAATTGCGAAAAAAAATATTTTATTGACCAAATCGGATAAATGATAATAGGTGATTGTGCTACAATAATATTTTCCATTTTTGTTTAAATGTTTTAGTTTGTTCAATTTGGTTGGGTGATTAATTTGGTTGGGTGATTGAGTGGGGCGAATATCTGAGTTTAAAATATTATCATCAAGTGATAATATAGGTTTACCATTGTAGATGCTCTAAGATGTAATTTATTTATAATGCACTACTAGAAAACTAAGTAATTACCTACAGCAGAATTGGTAGTAAATCCGTAGGAATAAGGCGTTACCTACAGATTTCCTACAAAAAACGGGTTGTAGGAGAAACCCTCATGGGTAAATTTTTTCCTACAAATTAGCTACAGACGTTCCTACGCATTTCCTACGGAATATTCTATTACAAATTTAACTACGGAATACCTACAAAACACGTTAACTACGGAGTATTTACAGATTACCTACGGGTTATTTAGTTACGAAACTCCTACAAAATACATACGGATTATTTTCCTACGGAATACCTACGAAATGATTTTCCTACAGAATACCTATCAACTACTTTACCTATAGATTACCTACCAACACCTTTATACAAAATACATACGGATTATTCTTTTCGTTTTTTTCACAACTTAATTATACTTTGATTGCTTTGTTTTAACCAATTTATACATAACATAAACTTACAAAAAAACGTATGCATCATTAGAAACCATTACTATATACATAATAAACAAAAAGCTATCTATGTTTGTCTTTAAGCCAAAATTAACATCATTAAACAAATACATGATATACTAAAATAGTACATACATATGGTGTGTATGTAAATGTGTGTACTTATTTCTATTTGTGTTTAAAAAATAACTTTGATTTAAAAAAAAAAAAAAACTTCTAAATGAGTAATCGATTCTAACGGTGCATACATTTTGTCACACCCCAAAACCGGAATGGCGGAAACGTTCTGGGGCGGATGACGTCATGTCAAGTATCACAACATATCCAGTATAGAAATCAAAGTACAACAACCATTGCATTAATAGTAATAGTTTTACATAAGTTACAATTCATAGAAACATCAAAGTAATACAAGTAATAATATAGGTCCAGCTTGGTACTAGGTTGACTTCGCCAAAAGCTCCTGGGATGTACCTGTCTATCGCTGACCTGAGAATACAAGTTATTTTGAAAGCGAGTATCAGCATTTTTATAATTGCTGGTGAGTTCATAAGTATTTAGTGTCATTTGTGTAAGTAAGCTATTTATTCAAAATAACTTTATAAAAAGTAGTAGTTTAGAATCTACGGTGTATTAGCGTCCTTTCCAGAAAATCCTATATTTTCTGATTAAAAGCAATCTTCTACCAAGACTCGATAGTGTTATGTTTTAAAGAGAAATTTTCCCTGAAATACTATCATTACCCAAAATACGGTATTTGAATTTAAAGAAAGTAGGAGAATATCACTAGTAAAAATACTAGGGGAAAATAACATATGCCTCAGTAGAAAATACTGCTGACTAACGCAAAAGAAATCATAGACTCCAGGAGAGTATCGAATGAATGATATGCCTAGCTCAGTCTAACTAAAGGAAACACAAACCCCAGATGGTATCAAATGTACGATACGGCTAGCAAGGTCTAAAACAAAGAAACATTGACCCCAGATAGTATCAAATGAAAGATACAACTAGCAAGGTCTAAAACAAAGAAACACAGACCCCAGACAGCATCAAATGAAAGATACAGCTAGCAAGGTCTAAAACGAAGGGTGAATGTGAACTCGTATGTAACCATGCTGATCGATGATAGAGTATTCGATGACCCTCCAGGTCATGCGTAGAGGTAGTGACAGTAGTAGTAGTGGCTTTATGTCCGCCATGGGCCTTACCGGCGCGGACTGTAGCTATTAGTCAAGGTGTAGGAGTGTCAGTCCCGTATAGATCTATATACGTGATGTTCGCTCTCCTTCTCGAAGACTATGGTTACACGGCGTTGGCGCAATGAAGCGCCGTAGAGGGAAATATTGTGTCACATTCTAAAGTAAGAGCGAGAGAGAGAGAGAGAGAGAGAGAGAGATAGATAGATAGATAGAGAGAGATAGAGTGAGAGATAGAGAGAGATAGAGTGAAAAATAGAGTCTCCTAACTATTCCTATAATAGTTACTAGGGTTCTAGGAACATGAATAATAGAGGGAGGCCTTTACTACCCAAGGCGATGTAATGGGAGAGAGAGAGAGAGAGAGAGAGAGAGAGCTTTTATGTCCATATATGTATACATGATATATAACTAATGTTTAAACAACCTTCGAACGGATATCCGATACCCACCAGACCACATCCCAACGAGGAAAAGGAAGTAGGGCGAACTAGCCTTCCTAAGTCTTTTAAACATTATTTATATAACTATACAAATACAGGCATGCATTTAACAAAGTAAAAGCATAGAAGAAAACTTTGATGAAAACCTTTACACATAAGAACTTTACGACTTAAAGTCAGTTTGTAAAACAAGTTTGAAAACCGTTCATAAACACGTTTAGAATATAACTTGATAAAACAATATAAGTAAAGAAAACATTTGTTTAAAACACTGCTGTAATTGGTTTAGAATTAAAACACACAGCACGAGAGACATTTTGAGAAAAGATTTAAACAAGTAAAAACGTTTTGGAAAACCATTTATAGTGTTATACTTGGTAAAGCAGCTGAAAGTGTGATAAATCCTTGTGCATGCAGGTTATTAATCACATATGATTGATATGATAACTAGCATGTTTTAACATGTATTCCCCCATAAAATCATGTAAAAACATTTAAAAGATTAATTAAGGGGTATGAACTCACATGTTGTAAGTGGATCGAACGAAAGTGCCGGTTGGGTGCTCGATGTCAAGTGAAGACTTGAACACACTTAGTGACCTATTAACATATGATGACATATTTTTACATACAATTAGTAATTATAATACTAATTAAACACGTAAACGCATCCTAATGTGCGGCAAACACTTTGGTCAAGTGCTAGGGGTGTCCCGGGTAGTATCTTGGGGTGTATATGGCCTAGTTAGGGAGTTTACTCTTCAAGAGTAAACTCTTTATAGAGTTTACGGCCCTAAGACCATATCCCCATGATTTTACGGTCGTAAACTCATGGGTGTTGTGTTCTAGGATGCATCAAAGTCTTGTATCACTCATAGAATTAGGCTAGGTCCAAATATAAGGCATATGCAGGGGTTTAAGGCTCTAAATGGACCATTTGAGGAGTTTACGGCCCTAAACAAGGAGTTTACAGCCGTAAGCTCCTACATGCTCATTCCTTTGGTGTATTAAGGTCTTAAATGGTAGAGAATAAAGTTCTATGCATTTTTCCAAGTCAAATAGGGAAGTTAGGGCATCATTTGGCCACTTTTTTGGAGTTTACGGCCCATGGACCAATCCTAGGGGGGTTTACGACCGTAAACTCCTATGTCCAATGTTTCTTTAATGTTTAAAGCCCCTACTTCAATTGTGGTTGATTCTAGACATTTTCCCAAGCCATAGGAGGTGTTTTAGGGCATTTCTAACACCTTTATAGGTGTTCACGGCCTATGAACAGGGGTTTACGGTCCAAGAGTGTTCTTGGGCCGTAAACTCATGTTTATTCTCCAAAATGCAAGGTTTTGGTGTTCTAATCTCGAAGGTGTAAGTCCACAAGTCATATCTAATCCCTAGGGGTAGTTTAGAGGGGTTTTGGGGCTTCAAAACCCAACTTATGGGTGTTCACGGTCCAAGAGTGTTCTTGGGCCATAAACACATGAATTTGCCCCTATTTGATGTCTTAAACACGAGTTCTCATGTTAACTAAGCTACACAACAGGTTAGGATAGATTACTTACTAGTTTGGGGCTCGGAATGGGTGTTTTTGGATCGAAAACAAGTTGTAAAGAGAGAGAGAGAGTGTGTGTGTGTAACGACCCGTTTCCGGTATGTTAATTCCTTGGTATTTGTTTTGAAATTTTTTAAGAGGGACTCGGTGAGTTCATAGCCTGACTCGCCGAGTAGGGTCAAGGTTGCGAGCACGTGTTAGATGGAGACTCGGCGAGTCTGTCCGTCTGGGTGAAACCCTAAATCCCCGGGTTGCCCACTATTTAAGCCACCTTATGGCTCCCATTCTTGCCTCCTTCACCCTTAGAACACTGTGAGAAAACCCTAATCCATCCTTGAGTGAACTAAGTGTTCTTGTGATAAATTGTGAAGGCTTGAAGAAGGAGAAGAAGAAAGGAGCAAGGAGAAGAGGAGTAGTGCAAAGATCCAAGGGCAAATCAGAGTTCTTTGAGGTATTTTTTGGATTCCCCCTTGTTTTATGCTTTAAACCTCCATTGAGACTCTTCTAGATCTAGTTGGTGTTCTTTTTCCAAGCCTTATGATTGTGTGAATGACCTAATAGGTCGAGATGTCCTTAGATCTATTCAT